AGTCCACTTTTTATCTGCGACATTTAATTCTAGGCCAAATTCCTGGCCTAACAATACTAAATTAGACTTTTTAAGTTTCTTTATCTCTACCACTGAAGGCTCCCTTGCCAGTTTCTGCATTTCAGAAGACATCACTAATAATTTTAGCTCCCAGCCAAAGAAAAAATTAAAAAATAAAAATTGGAAAAAAACAAAAATTTGCACGGCCCCTAACACAAGGCCACACTAACCTTAATCGTGAAGGGATCCAGCTGGGTGTCCAGTCAGTGCAAGAATGTCCTTTGCTAGATGAGCTGGACCCTAGGCTAGCACACAACCGTTCTGCGGAAATAAAAAATTTTAATTTTGGCACTCAAGAATCTAATTTTTTACACTTATAATGTTCCTCCCGGACTGGCCAACCACTTGTTACAAATGATATGAGTGGGGCTTCTATGGGGTACTGGTACTATTAAGGGGTATAGGTAGTTAGAAGACAAGAGTATCAAATATGGGAGAGCTAAAAGGCCCGGCCCCCAAAATAAACTATCCACAGTAGTAATAACTTGCTACAAGACCATATATGTTAGTCTAAGGGTTGATCACTGCGCTCCCACCTTGGAAGAAGAGATACTCTGTAATTCATGTACTTATTTATTAACCCCTTAACAACCCCCCCATATACACTCACACCAATAACAATAATAATAATAACTTTACCACACTATCTTACGTTAAAAGCCTTGGTCCACATAGGCAGGATACAAGGTTTACACTAATAACAAGCTAGGGTAAAGTACTACTGGATAAGCCCTGAAGCTGGATGCAGCTTAGGGTAGTGAGACCACGTGGGACCCTAATACAAAACACAACACTTAGGGTAAACAAAACACTGGCAAAATACTAACCCCAGGTCTCACCAATAGTTACTACCAGAGTAGGCACACTTACACCATATAATACTTAACTTAAGGGTACAGGAACTTCAGGTAAGGGAAATAAGTAAGAGGAGAAGGAAGGAGAGTAGGGATACAGCCACAGAGTAGGTCTTAACCTCACGCCACCAGCCAAGAGAAGACCGAGCTAGCCACCCGCTGCCTCCCTCATCTCGTGGTGCCGGGAGGAGCCTAATTGATCGTGCAGCTAAGCACATTAAAGATCTTCCCCTATGCAACGTATTGTTACTTTATGAATGATTAGAAAGTATTAGTAAGCAAAGTTGGTGCCTATGTTATTATTTAATAATCAACCCCCAGCTCAGTCTTTAAATGCTCTTTGAGAAACAATAATAGTCTTACGTCTGGCAGGGAAGATACAAACAATTGACATTCTAGATGCCCAACTGTGCTACCAGGAAGTTTAATAGCTCAATTTTGACCTCTGGTTTCCACTGGAGAACCCAGGGTCGTAACATGCGGGTATAAAATCAACTAGTATTGTAAGATCTGTTCACTTGAGAATGAACCATGGAGGTTCGAAACGTCGTGCAAATTATACAAATAAGTGTAATACACTCTATAGTAAATCACTTCTTTTCTTCACCTTAAAAGTACGAAAATGAGTTTTGGAGAACTCCTATTTCAATTAAGCCCTGATGCTAAGAAAATAGTTAGAGGGATAGAAGCCCTAAACCAGAAAATAATAAATACAGAATATGCGGTCATATTCAATGAAACATGTTTGAAAGAAAACCTGCTGCCAGTATACACCAATATATATATATATATATATATATATATATATATATATATATATATATATATATATATATATATATATATATATATATATATATATTCCACACCTGCAAGATTATATCACATGGAATAATATCAACAACAATGATTGAATTACCAAAATTCTACCAGTATGGAATAAAAAAATATGCTATGTAAACTTGTTCCCGTGTTTATCTACACACATACACACATGTACGTCTGTCTACACCAGACCAAGTCCCACTGGACTGACAACATGACAACAAGGGTGATACTCTCGCACATCCACACTTCACTTCACCTCTATGGGTGCTCTTAGTGACAATGCAACGGAACACCTGACTTTGAATTCAGGTTAGAGAACATAAATCACCAGAATACACACAATAGATACTCATTTATACAGCCGGCTACACACTCACACAATTAGATACATCAGGCACCCAGCTGGCGGGTGGCTGGCTCAAGGTGGTGGAGATGGCTCGAGCGGTACCTTACGTACCTTTGTACTTTCGTTCGTACAAAGATGACTTGGCGCGTCTTTTGAACTCTCCCTCACAACACATGGCTCGGTTCGCACCCCTGACCCACCGGTGAAGCGGATGTTCATACACAGACGACGTGCACAACGTATAGCATCTTACACAAACATGGGAAATCTGCCTTAATCACTGACACGAATTTCTCTGTTCCCATCAACTGCTACAGAGCACTAGCAGGAATTAAAACGTCTATAATCACTGGAATGGGGATTTACGAGTCTGTTGCTGCTCATATGCAAATTACCCACCTCCCAGATCTCTTCCCAAAGCACTCCCTATCGTTTTCCCTCTCGAACTACGAAGGCGGTGGGTTTCTGATGGCAGTCGTCGACGTAGATGAGGCAGGAGGTGGAGTAGCAGAGTAGGCAGTAACCACGACGTCTTCTTGCCTAATTTGGCCGAATGGGCAAGAGAGAGACGTTAGGCTGTGGTGGTGACTGGAGCAGAATGACGTCTTGGGGCAGGAACACCGGCTTCCCGGGCTCTGCCTCAAAAGAACCAATCAGAAGGAGGCACACAGGTGCCTACCCCTCTCAACCAATCAGCGACGGTGTAGCATGGCCCTAGGGCAACTCCAAAATGGCCGACTCCCCAGATGTTTGCTAAGATGGCGGCCATTGCCATGATGACAATGCTGGAGCTAGCGGGAGTCAAGTGGCTGGCAGTTAGCCCACACTCGCACCACGTGGCTCGCTGTTCCGGCGCAAACCTTGTCTCCCTCCAAGCTTACAGTGAAAAGATGCTATTGTTATAACTCTGTCCACAGACGTGCTATTCCGGCCAGGGTAACATTTCTGAAATGCTGATGACTGGGGCTCTCACATGAGCCCAAACACAAGATGTTTCGGGTACTGGTTACCAAACTTAGGTCTGCACACTTAACCAGTGCACTTAGCAAGTGTACTGACCTCCACAGGCAGAAAAGCACCATTGTAAGCGAGCTGGTGAACCCTCCCCTCACATGCAGTGTGTCAAAAAGCTAGCTACGTGATGCTAAACAATCCCCATCACACAGGATGGTTAGTCATACAGAGGCATAGGATGAGTAGTCTGCACTGACAGACTCTGGGTTCGTTATGAGGATATCATGAACACAAGAGTGAATAAGGTAGCATTGATACTAAAAGTCCCCATCTCGCAGGATGGTTTGTTGTACAGGGCCATATGTTCAGTAGCCTGCACTGGCAAATTTTGGGTACACTATGAGGATATCTTCAAGAACATCAGAGTGAATAAAATAATTGCAAGTTCCAGGTACCTCATGCCAACTGGTTTGAAAGGTCTAATAACTGGGCATTCGGTGATATAGTGTGGGAGATCCTGCCGCAGTTCCTGCTCGCAGAGTTAAATTCTATGCCTTGCCCTTCTCAATAAACTCTATGGTATTTGCTCTCATCTTCTCAAAACATTATAAAGTCTACTTGATTTGCACACCACTTTTCAACCCACAATGAAGCCTTCGGAATTTCCATGCCATGCCCAGAACGGATTCGTACTGTCGTAGTCTCCTTTCACCCTACTCACATTAAGTGTCTCTTAATTGTATCCTATACTACACACAAGAACATATTGAATCACTCATAATATATTTAGGAATTACAACAAATATAATTTTATCCACAACTTTTCTCAAGTTTGTTAATGGAATAAATATGGAGAAATACTATGTTGCCAATGTCGGAAAATCTGACACCATTTAATAATCATACAGATAATAGCTGTATTGTATAAACAAGTTACCCATAGAAAACGTAACTTGTAGTGGAATTACCGTCTATAGAAAACGGGATATCATCACCACATACTATTATATTCTCCACCTATTATGGTGGGAATTATTCTTAAATACATAAGTCTTTGGACTTTACCATCATAAAAACATCTTATATAAATTAACTTAATTATCAATATTAAAGTAGAGTAAATGTGACCCTTCTATCACGTTCTGAAATCTGGACAATGTAAGCCAGGCGTCAGTGGAGGAAGGAGGGCAGGCATTGTTGTGTCACCTCCGAGACGTGTGGAGCAAATTCGGCTCCTATCATTCTGGACAATGTCGGCCAGTAACGTCAATAGTATGGAGTGTTAAACAGCCATTGTTTATACTAGACCAGAGGCTCACACGGGAGCAAATTCGGCTCCTGTTAATTTTACTTGGACGTAGTGTTATGGAAACCAAAGGTGTACCATTTATCAACACGCTGTCTACATATCAAGTTAAGTGTTCTTTCCGAAACCCATTATCTATCATTAGTGGCCATTAATGTCATTGGGTAGGGTTAGCCGGTTAGAACGCGAAATCGCCTCATACTAAAGGTAATTAAGCCAGGTCTTTATTGTTCCATGTACTGTATAGTGTTTTCTCTGATATAGCTTGTCATATATAGGATTCTGGCTTCTCAGCTAGCGCACCTTTGACAGGTCAAGCACGAGGAAGCAAGATTTGTGCACCAGTTACTGGGTGATGGAAGCTACCTCAAAGAGGATAATTTGGTGTCTACACCCTAGTTATACCTGGTGGACTAACCTGCTGTACTATAAGATAAGGAACCTTTTCAATGTATGTAGTCTATTCCTGTAGTTTGATTGGCTGCATATATATAAACTAATAAACCCCCCCTAATGTGTAGAGGATCGATTTGTGAGATTAAGAGATTATTGCAGAAATACAGTCCACTTATCATTATACAAATTGCTATCGAAGTATATAAATTAACGTAAATATAAATTCATATAAATTAAATAAATATAAATCTCACAGGTCGGTTCCCACAGCCAACAAAGTTTCTTTAAAATTAATATACAAGTTTTCTAAATACCCTTTAAGGTAGGCTATATAGATTTCTCAACATTAATGAAGAGTAAGATCCTCACACAGGTCTGTGGGAAGTGGTTAGTGAGAATGAGTTTCACTGAGCTGGAGTATGTGAGCCTGGCTCCCGATGACCTGGACGACATCTCTCACCTTCTGGTCAATCATTTCTACACGCGAAACATTACGGTAAGTCCGTCTTGGATGCGATACACTGGCCATGGCATGTTCCCTGTTATTATTTTCTTGTTCATAGCCCAATAAAAACTTACGTATATTACTAACACAATTAATATTTACAAAATAAAAAAATAATAAACTTTAATGGTTGTACCAAATTTATTGTGACCAAGTAAATCTTTTCCCTTTATTTGTATCACCATGAAATATTACAGACTTTTCTTCTGGGCATGAGCCCGGAATCAAAGATGGCTATGGACCTCAATGACATCCGGACCTGCTTAGCAGCTAAGCTCTCGGTGGGTGCTAGAGACAAGTCAACAAGGCAGCTGGTTGGGGTGCTAATGAACTCCATTCTCACTCCTGGCTCTGGAGTAATTCAAACTTCTTCCGAGAGCGTTGAGACTGAGGTATGTCACTTGTAGCAACGGATTATTTTTTAGCTCTGCACTTATTAAGATGAAGATGAGTCTAGAGGGTAAGTTGATAGAGCTGACAGCTATCCTTCAAAAACATTTGGAGAAACTGAAGGAAGAAGTGAGACAGCTGAGACACTGTCGTAACAGGATGAAGTTCAAACGGCTTGGGGGGGGGGGTCACAAAGTACAAGCATTTCAGGATTACCATGAAGAGGCCTTTACTCTAGAACTAGATATTTTCTGTAAAGACTTTTAGCGGCATAAAGCTCATTGTATGCAGTTCAGATGGAAACTTTATTTACCGAGGTAGAACAAACATAAAGTAACACTAGATATGATAAAGGCCAAGACAAAGGTCCGGGTCATGTGTGGTGTCTGCCAAGGTTGAATTGCCAGTGACTGGATGTCATGAGCGATTGGTATAAACCATAATCTCGGACAGTATTGCATGAATAATGCAATAACGTTCATATATAACTGGGAATCTTGCATTAGCAGGCACACCATGCGTCTGAAACAACAGCAGTTTTTTTGTGGATCCGCTGGTGGAAATAGTGAGCAAGACAGTAAGCAGCTAGCAGATAGTAGCACGGGCGTACACAGTGGAAGAAGACTTTAAGCGGCTAGTGGCTAATAGCAAGAACGTAGACAATGGGAGAAGACTTCAAGCGGCTAGTAGCAAGAGCGTAGACAATGGGAGAAAACTTTTACCGGCTAGAGGATAGCAGCGAGGGCGTAGAAAATGGGAGAAAACTTTAAGCAGCTAGTGGATAGTAACACTGATGTAGACAATGGGAGTAGATGAATAACTTAAAGATAATAACAGAAGTTGTAAAAACAATAACAAATAACATCATCCAGCAGGGACAAAGAAGGGAATTTTCCTAATAAGAATGAACAGGAAAATTATAACAAGAGTTTTGAAGTAAATACAAAAGTCAGGGAGCAGTATGAAAGTACACAAGGGCATAAACATAATGTAACAGTCTAAGCTGTTTTAGAAGCTTATAGATCTTGTATAATATTGTTACAGGGATAATCTAGGTGTTGGAGTCTCAGGGTAGTCTACCTGAGTCTCTAGAAAAGGTTGCCCCAAGAGATTAGCACAGGAGTGATTAGTCAACATTGCCCTATATTCCTGTGAGCTCAGTTCATCAATTTAGAGAAATTCTGTATTAAAGTAATGGTAGTAATAATCAATCTTCCTTAAGGAAATATATTAATTGAACATCAATTTAGAGTGAAGAGTGACTTGGTGAACTGTAACGCCGACCCAGGCAAAGGGCTAGTGCAGCTTGCCCCCCCCCCCCACCCAGTCAAGTCTGCCTCTCACGCCCACCCTCACCCGCCCTCCCCTCCCAGACGCCATCTTAGGTAATTTACCATGTGAAAGGGTATTATTTAGTTTGGAGAATGTTATATATCTGAGACTGGAATCAAAACTATACAGTAAGCAAGGAAATACTAAGGCTTCCTATTAGAAGTAATGAGGGGCAGGGGAGAGGGCAGATGAGGTTCATCCTAGGGTGGGAACTAGGTTATCGGGAATAAGCCACGTGACCTCATTCCAGTGCAAGGGCATCCGCACCGTGTAGTAAGTACCATACACCTTGGGCCAGATTCACGAAAGCACTTACGAACCTGTACATCTTTTCTCAATCTTTGGCGGCTTTGTTTACAATTATTAAACAGTTAATGAGCTCCGAAGCACCAGGAGGCTGTTTATAACAATAACAACAGTTGAATGGGAAGGTTTCATGCTTGTAAACTGTTTAATAAATGTAACCAAAGGCGTCAAAGATTGAGGAAAGATGTACACGTTCGTAAGTGCTTGCGTACGTACTTTCGTGAATCTGGCTCCTTGTTTGTTACTTCTTGTAAATTAGAGAAATTAATGCTATTATTTAATGTTGCATTTAATAATTGTTCTAGTTCAAGTATATGTGTAATTATCAGTATTTTGAATAAGAATTCAGTCACCTTTAGTGACCAATGAATATGTTAGCTTTGGAAAATCATTTTAAAAATTAGTTGGCAGCTAAGCCTAAGTCAACCTCTCTGTGGGGAGAGCAGTTTTTGAACAGTGTGATTTGGGACATTCTGGGAGCAAGAACCTCTCTCCAGAGGCAGGTCAGTCAACGACTGGCTTAGCTTGTGTTTAAGGTAAAGTGCTGTCCAGATTATAAGTGTTATTATCATAATCCACATTATTTTATCATTGCCTCAGGAAATTTCGGTTAGGAATATATTCAGTTAGGGAGTGGGCATTTTTTGTATATACATACGTGTGAGTAATGAAATATGGCTGTTATAAATTCCATTGTTTAATGAGTTTTCCCATTTAGTTATTTTCCCGTGTTAATTGACAAGTCCATTTGAACCTTGCAAGCACTCTTTAATCTATTGTGAATATATATAATCCTTTAGTCGAGTTAATCCACAATGTAAAGTAGATTCATTCCTCCCTTTTATATAATTGGGAATCCACATTCGTGAATGTATGTGCAAATTGATTGATCTGGTTCCGCAATCAATTAGCAGGATTATAGAGTCAGTCGTACAGGTACAGTGCCTCTGTTTTGGGGTACTGAGGTGGTCAAATACCGAGGTTACCAGGTTGTTGGCTGAAGATTACAGTAAGAACTTTGGGGAACAATAAGAACTTTTAATTAACGACCAGCATTTAATGAGTTTAAGTGAGGTTAAAGGCTGGCCCCTGTTACAATGGTGCACAGCTGTGGTTTCACCAATTTTGTTGTTTGAAAATTGCTGAAAGCTTACGTGTCTTGGCCATTCGCTCACTTGTGTAGGGGCTAGGGAGGTCAGCTAGGAGCCCTCGAGCTAGAGTCGACGGAAAAAAACACAAAAATAGCGATTGAGTGGTGTAGGCGATTTCTGGACCTCATGAGGGGCTCATAGCATTAATATGCTAGTGATACCATCTGGGTCCCCTGTTTGCGGGTGTTTGTTGCCGGGGTTCCGGATGACATGGCGTCCCCGGTGGGTGGTCAAGACCCTTAATTGGAGGTGGCTGCATTGGGAGGCGTTCAATGTGTGGTTCCCCTGGGTCTCGTTCCCGGGCAAATATGTCAGCTGATTTCATTTTTTTTTTTTGCTAACTGTAGTTCTGTGTGCCCCTATGATGTTTTGTTTGCCCTAATGTATTATGTTCCGGTGCCTCTCCCTTATTTGTTGCGGGGCCGGTGTTTTGGTGAGTGTTTTTATTCCTGTATTTGCTTTTGTGTTGTTACTTATGCATTGCTATGTTGTGTTGTTTTTTGTTTTTATATGTATTTTTGTTTTTAATTTTATTTATATTTTTATTTTTATTTTTATTATTATTTTTATTTTTTATTTTTATTTTATTTTTGTTTTTTGTTTTTATTTCAGGCGTGTTGTGGGCTGTGCGATTTTCTTGTTCGGTTTCATGTTGTCCATTATGTTGTGTTTTGTTCTCGGTCCTTCAGGCCGGTGCTTGTTTGTTGTTTTATATGTTACTATGTTTTGTTTTCTTGGTAGCATGGATTGCCTGTTTGATATTATTGTATATTTTGTGTCTTGATGTATGCTGTGTTTCTCATGCGTTTATCCAGTTTTGTTAATTGTTATGCTATGCTGCTGGTCCTTCTAGCCGATGGTTTCTTGTTTTGTTTCCTCTGTTATTTTATTGTATTTATTGTATTTCACTAGCATGTAAAAAAAAAAAATTAGTACCCGCATCATCGTGCGCCAGTTTTGAATGGAACGCTAAAAATATAAATACCCCCTGTCGAGCACCTGCAGGCGCGTTGCGCAGTTCAGTGGTTAGGGTAATTAAAATTCAAATGTTTATTCAGATAAAAGTACATAGAAGATGATTTACAAACATAATGTTGGATTTATAGATAGAGCTAGTACATACAGTGCCTTAAGCCATTAATTAATTAACCCTTATTAAAGTAAATTGGGCATATACTGTGGAGACAACTGTTGATTGGGTGACAGTAGTGTCTAAAAGAACTCGTTTGGATTAATAGGCTGTCAGGTTGGCAGTAAGTAATTAATTGGTAATTACTCACTGAATGACTGATGGGTCAATTATGGTGTAATTAATGGCGAGCGAGTAAAAGTGTTGACAGGTGAGTGTTCGAGAAACATGATTGTATTTAAAGTAAACTAATTGTTGCTGACTGCTGTTGACAGTCAATTAACGTAATTAATAATTGAGTATCAATTAGTGTAACTTTTATTCTATTGTTTGATTGTGTCTTGAGAGATAAGTGTTAACGTACATTTGATAGGAGATTACCTGTGTTGTCATTTAACCACCTAGTCATTATGATCTCATTGCAGAGGGGCTACAAGAGTTGTTTGAGTGAGTTGTATTTATTGGTTATATTCAGTATTCAGCCTCGCAGCAAGGGAGAGGACTTCTTGCTACACTTGGTTGTTAATTACCTATCTGTGTTGTGCCACTGAGATATTAACGTAATGTAAAGTTTTTGTTGTAGTAGTCTTAGTCTTTTATTGAATAAACTTGTTATTGTTATATGAGAATGGTCTTTATGTTTAACCCCATAATAATATTATTCTACACACATATTCTGCATAGTACGATTGTTTCTTTATGTGAATTTTTACCGAAGGCCTGTCTCTGGGATTCGAACCAGATTCGTGGCACCACACGAATCGTTCTCACACCAAAATAATTTGGTGTGAGAACTTATGACCTAAACTTAAAAGTGCCTTGTCACTCGAGGAGGTCAACAACCTGGTGGATAGGGATTCCACCTAAGTCCTGGCGGTTGCTCCTGCCTTTCTACGGTCTCTTATTTAAGGTACAACGCTGCACAGGCAGTCCTTTCTGCTTGAGGTCAACCTCCCAGTCAAGGAGGTAATATAGAAAAATCTCACAATAGCTAAGCAAGTTACAATCTTGATGAGCTAGTTACAAAATTCAATGCACATCGTCACATCAACAATGGGCTCAAGACCGACCTCAAGTTCAGTTTCTAATTTTAACAACTG